ACTGAAGGTATGATACAACGTGCTCTTAAAATTAACGCATGGGGTAACGCGGGGGAAGAGCTCGTCGCGACTGTCACTATCCGTTCATTCAGCCAACATTTGGCGCACAGCGGTTCCTTGCCAGGTCCTGCGTGTCGGGGTCGTGGGCGTAAGACCCACCATCAGTGTCCCCGAGGATTCTAGGGGATATTATAAACAACAACGAAAATATAATTGTAATATAATAAAATCACGTAAGTGAATATTTGGGACTGAATATCTATGGTTCCAATGTAACAAACACCGGACTAGAGCCAGCGGTCCTGGTAGGAAGCCAGCTGTGCCACCAACCACCGCTCTGGGCAAAGAAAGAAGATTCTTCTGCACCTTGTGAGCTGCTCTTGTTTTTACGACCTGCTTCTATTACGTATGTGCTTTGTATTTAGAACAGATAATAGTTTGTCTAATGCATCCTTCAGGTGCCCTGATTCTGGTAGAACCTAGGAAGTTTCAGTTTCGAGCAGTTATAAAGCCCCCACTCGCTCTGATGTATACAAACGGAAGCATCTGACTGACATTTTTGCAAGTCAAAACAACCAGCAATTTCGAATGGTTCAGCCTAACAGCTTTGCTTCAAAAAGGCCCTGCATCACTTAATAGTTAATCATTCCAATTCTGCTGAGGCATCAAAAATATTCTTTCGAGGAAGGAAGTTTAAAATTAGTAGCATTTTTATTTTGCTTTAAAAATGTAACAAAGTGACTGCTGGAGCAAATAGGCAAGATATCAAAAATTTGAACTAAATATCCTGAAGATTCTGAAACAATTTTTTTGGAATCAGATGGTTTCCAAAAATCAGATGGAACAAAACCCCAGGGCTTTATCTGGGTGAGGCCCTGCGATTTCTGTGCGTGGAAGCACACAGGCAGGTCGTCCCAAACACGGAACACCTGGTTTGTTGGGACCGGGACACGTGGTCAGTGACAAGCCAGAAGGTGGCGTGGATCGTGGGGGGGTCAGTCTGAAAAAATGCTTGTTATAAATGTGGGGCTAACACAGCAAAATTAATTCCTGGTGTTAAGTATGAGGAAATGTTACAAATAAGCATTTTCAATCCTGTCATTGCTGAACCGAGGTAGAACATCTAGAGGGAAAATGCAAGGGCATTAGTTATTCATTGAGTAACCCTGAATTTTAAAGAACCATTTAAAAGCTACATTTATAATGTAGTGAAAAGCTACACTTTAATTGTTTTTAGCAATGACAAAGCACAGAGAGCCCTGCAAAAAGCCTAAGGAAAATCGTAATGGGCAATTGTGTGTGTTAAGGCAGATATCATAATACATTCTTTTTTCATTCTATTGTTTGCAAAGTAGCTTCCTGAGCCTGAGGAAATTTTAAACAGCTCAGAACTGAGAATTCTTTTTCAGCACAGGTCATTCCCAAATGCCCACGCTTCACGTAGGACGAGATTCATTGCCAGGGTCACCAGACTCATTCGAAATCGCCGAATTTAGTCACATCTCAGGTTTTTCCTTGCCTCTCCATGTTTCTCTCTTTTCCCTGAAGGCCGGAGTGTCGCTCTCTCGGCGTGACGACTCTCACGGTAGGTTCCGAGCACTCAGTGAGGGGACTTCCAAGGCCACTTCCTCTTGGTTTTCCTTTCCCGGCGCTCTAGACGCTTCTGGCATTGGCTGGTTTGCAGAACACCTTTTCGCAGGTGCAACACAGCCTCCGCGACTCCTGAGTTCTGGGAAAGGCTGCAGGGAACGAACACCGGGTCGGCTTTCACGTTCCCTAATTCTTCCGGAGAAAGTGAGCCTGGGGACCTCAGAACAATTACTGTCCGGAGCTCCCTGTTTTGAAAGCTCCCGGGCTCGCTCTTGGGCTGTGCTGTTCCCTTCGCTGATCCCGTCAGCAAATGCCCTCCTTTCGGAGCCTGTGGTCCCCTGACGCTCCAAGTCCTGGAGGGCCAGTCTCCCGTCCTTGCTTCTACCTTCAGGACCGTCATGGACCACTGCTTTCCACGCGCATCTTCCCAGCGCCTCGCCGTCCCAAACACTCAGCAAATGACTGGCATTGGAATTAAGTGGATCAAGAAAATACGGATTTTTCCCACTCACGGCAGTCGTGTGATATCTCCATTTAGATACATCTTCTTATAATCTCATAATAAAACATAAAAGTTCTGCATATTTCTGTTATCTTTATTGCAGGATCTACAGTCTTCATGCTGATTTTGCAGTAGTTTTCATGATATTTTCTTACGGTAATAAGCTCTTTGTAGGAATTCAGTTATTCTAAGATTCAGTGGGTAGCCCTACTAAATTCTCATTAATTTCAATAATATTTCTGTCTATCCTCTTGGGTTTTCCTGGTAGGCAACCATATTTCCTATGAAACATGTCATCTTCATTTCCTTGTTTCTAATCATTTGTGGCTTTGAAATGCCTCCTATACTTTTGTCCCTCTGCTATTCATTTCTAATCTAAATGTCCTGTAATCAGAGAAATTGTCCAAACCATAACAACTACTGTAAAATTTTTTGGTTTTGCTTTATGAAACATTAGGAAAATCATTTTGCAAAAATGTGCCATGTGTGCTTGAGAAAATTATATATTCTATAATTTTCAGGGCCTACCAAATCAAGCCATTGATTTCATATAAAAATATTCCATATCCTTAATAATTGTCATCCACATGATTTACCAGTTGCTAACAGATGTATATCTAAACCTCTCCTTACAATGGTTGATTTGTATATTCCTTCTTTCAATTCAGACAATTATTTTCTATATACATTTTGAGTCATTTTTGTTAGAAATATATGAGTTTAGGATTATTAGGGGTTTTTGGTGAAATTAAAAAGCATCATGAAATGGTGATACTAATCGTTCTATATTAAGACTTCAAAATTTGGGGGTGCCTGGGTGGCTCAGATGGTTAAACATCTGACTTTGGCTCAGGTCATGCATGATTTCAGGGTCCTCTGATGAGCCCCAAGTCGCTGGGCTCCCCAATCAGCAGGGAGTCTGCCTCTCCCTCTGCCCTTCCCCCCACTTACGGGCATAGGCACCCTTTCTCCCTGTCAAATAAATAAAATTTTAAAAAAGAAAAAAAGACTTTTAAACTTAAATTACTTCTGTGCACATTTGCTTGGTAAGTTGTTTTAGGATTTTGCTTTCAACATTTCTAGGTGTACAAACAAGATATACTTATTTTTAATTCAAAATGACCTATCTGCATTTAAATGGCTATTTTTGTCACATTTATTGTGCCTCATTACTCATAATATTCTCATGTTATTTTGTTGCTCTTTGTTTCCTCTTCCTTTTTAACTTTTATTTCCTACCTTCTTTTGAATTAACTTTTCTTAAAATCCCATTTTTCCTTCCTTCCCTCTTTGGATTTGAATGTTACACTGTTTCTATTCTTCAGTGCTTACACTTGAAATCTTAATGTGTGCACTATGAGCCGTTTAATGCTGACAAACTTCTACAAAATGAGTTTCTAAGTTCAATCATATTCTTATTTCTAACCCTGGCTGTAGTCCTCTGTCGATCACAATCATTTTGTTTCCCGGTCAGGACCGCTCCCTCCTGTTTCCGTATGGTACATGCCTGACACAGGACTGGTGTCTCGTATTTGCCTCTTATGTTTCTGTTAATCTCTGAGTTTACACATTTCTTTCCTCGATGTTTCTTCTAGCATCTGGGACTCTCCTTACCAGATAGCCCACTTTCATTTTAAAAACCATTCTTGAAACTCTGTCTTCTGGAGTCGGCTGGTGGTGTATTTCTTCTGTGTCTGTCTGTCTGGGTGTCCCTGTATCTTGGCTGGGGACACAGTTGGAACCGGACAGTTACGGTATTTACTGCTGCACAGCGAGGGGAGTGCCGGCACCTGCAGGCTTAGCTGGGTCCACAGAGGGTCTTGCCTGGCCCCGAAAGCCCTTGCTTTGACACGTTCCGGTCACCTCTGCTCCCTTTCACATTCTCTTTAATCTTCCTTGATTTC